ACGATGATCACAAAAAAGAAAGAATAAAAGTTCACTTGCTTCTAATTAAAGGAAAGGTATCGAATTCTTTTAACATATCACTTAAAACAGTAATAATCACAATGTGTTTGTGTGATGAAAACAGAGTTTTAACAGATCATTGCATGATGAAAGCTAAAATCCTTTTTTTTTTTTTTTAATAAGACATGATTTTATTCTTTGCTTGTATTAACAGTTTCTTTTACCACTTCTATTTAAGTGGATTCTTGTTTTTAAATGGAGAAAAATTGTCGGAGATATCTTAAAAGAGAAGGAATAAATCAAACAGGATGTTTGTGGATGTTCATCAGCATCTTTGGATCTAACCAGAAACGTTTATTAATGGATCAGAAACGTGGAAGCAAAAGACTTACAGGTTCTTGTTTCATTATACCATATGTCTTAATGATTCTTTACTTCAAGTTCTGTAATAATATTAACATATTACTAGTTTATGCAGGTAGTAATGAGAAGCAGCTTACATGTTCTTGTGACAGCTCTCAAGAGGAGTTATTGAGTAAGAAAGATATCGATGTTTCGATTGTTGGTGATGAATCTGAGGAAAAATTCAGCGAGATTATTAAGCGGTTGATAGCTCAGAAAGAAGGAGAGATTCAAACATGTAAGGATTTATTGGAGGCTTTTCATGTTTTGAGTTGTGAAGAAGAATCATTCATGAAGAAGATTTCACTTGAAGATGCTCAAAGGTTGGGAGATTCTAAGAGAGTAGAAGAAGAAAAGGCTCAAGTAGTTTCGAAACAAGAGGCGGTGATAGTACCGAAGAAGAAGTCCAAGTTCTTTAGTAGGAAATGGAAATCAGAAGAGAGGAGAACCATTGTGGTTTTGAAACCTGGTCCAAATAGTTTGGAGCTTGATTCTTCATCTGGACCTTGTTCTAAAGGCAACAAGTCGAAAAACGGGAGAGCCTTTTCTCGGTTTCTTATCGGTTTAATAAAAAGAAGATTACATTCTGCTGTTGGAAAGAAGTCATGTGATGATACTGTTGATAAGAGCCAAAGCTGTTGTGTGCAAGAAGAGATAGAGAGTAAATCAGAAAAGCATGTTTTGGATGAAGAAGAACCGTTCTTTAACGAAGGAGTGAGTGTGGCTGATAAAGAGGTTACTGTCCGCACAAGCGAAGATTCGAAGAAGATTATGTCTGGCTTATACATTGCAGCCAAGAAACACTTGTCTGAAATGCTTGCAAATGGAGATATAGATGTGAATTTACCAGATAAGGAAGTACCAAGAATCCTAGGGAAGATTCTTTCTCTCCCTGAGTTTTCTTCACCAGCAGAGAGTCCTCGATTGATCCCGAGAGATGATTTGGTTAGCTGTCTTAGCCCTCAAAGCCAAACAACCGAGAAACCGAAGATTCTGCAATGCAGTTCATGTACAAATGGTCCGACTGATGAAGAAGATTCAGATAAAGATGATGAGACATTGTTTACCATTGATGTCTCTGTTCCTAGAGGTGATTTGTTTTCTTCTTCTCTTTTTAATCTGTTTCTTTCTATGTCCAATAGATTTTATATTGTTCTAACAAATTATAACTAAATGGTTTCAGACGATGAGAAGGAAACTAAGAATATAGACAAGGAAGAGAGGACTGAAATAGATCCATTATCTGAAAGTTGCAGCTCTTCCGTTTCTCAACAAGTCGAATATGTTGATGAAGATGTGCTTGAATGTCGTGAAGAAGACCGGGATAAGCAATTACTGAAAAAGGTTAGATAGCTTGTGTATGTGATAAATGACGACATCTCTGTTTACTCGAATGATGTTTCATATTTTCATGGTTTATCTTGTTCCAGGAAATTTCTAACCAAGTGCATTCACCGTCTTCTCCACCAAGTTCTTCGGTTAGGATGAATCAATGCAAAGAAACTGCCATTGAGGTGCAGGGAGAGTTAAGTCCAGTGTCTGTACTCGAGCCTCCGTTTACAGATGATGAGAGTAGTCCAACAACAAGCACAAGATTCAGTTCAGGTATGTATGCATTGAATCAGAATTTGCAGAATTAACTCAGGATTGATTCTTCAGAACTTAGTTTCCTACTGTTTCTTGATTCACATTCAGCTGAAATGCGGATACAACCACTCTGTATAAGATTTGATGAAGCAGATTCTCCAAAACCAGTGAAAGGCTACAATGTCAATACAAGCATGGATGACAAGGAGTTGACACTTGCATACATTGAAGCCGTAGTCAAATCCTCAGGCTTGAGCTGGGAAGAGCTTTTGAAGAGGCCGTTTTACTCGGAACAGATTCTTGAGCAAGAATTAACAGATGACATAGTTTTCTGTTCTACACAGCTCTGCGACAATAAGAATCTCCTTTTCGACTGTATCAATGAAGTTCTTTTGGACTTCTGCGGGAACGAGCTCATTCCCGGGCCTTGGATTTCATTCGTGAAACCTGAAGTCCAGCTAATCTCAGACACGGAAATCGCAGCTAAAGTGGCACAAGAAGGGGTTTACTGGCATCTTCTACCTTTGCCTTCCCCTCACACTTTAGATCAGATAGTGAGAAAAGACATGGCTAAAACCGGAAGCTGGATGGATCCCCGGTTTGATATTGGTTGCATTACTTCCGGCACAAGTGAAATGATCCTTGATGATTTAGTAGAAGAGATCATCAGAAGCTGCATAGACATGGTTCAAGCTGGACCAATGCAGGACCAGAACAGCAACAACCTGTGATGAGTCTCTTTATTTATGGTCTTGTCTTCCCTGTACAGTTTCACTTCCACTGCCATGGTCATAGCTCTCTAGTTGACCTTCTTGTGCAGTTGCACAACCACAACTTTTTTTTTAACATCAACAAAGACTTCAGAATCTTTTTAATTGTTTCACTTCCATACTCTGTTTTTACTTTCCGGTGGCTTCTGTAGTTTACTCAGCCAAAAAGAGTTTTGTATGAGTATGAACTATAGAATGTAATAACACGAGGCTTGAACTTAAATAAAACAAAGAAGATTGTTTTTACATGCATCATGTTCCAATAGAACTAAAATCATGTGGTTTTAGCTCTGCCAACAAGCGAAACAAATACACAGCCATGATTTCAACTATAGTCAGAAATTCTAATGAGGCGTACTTGTATTCTTTCTTTTCTTGCCGAAAGCTTGGCTTTTGCTTTCTGATTCATCATCATCTTCACTGTCATCATCGGCGTTCTTACTAGACCCAGCGGATTCTGCTATAGATCTTGCATATTTTCTTTTTCCTGCATCAAACTTTGCTTGTAGTTTCTGATCGAGAGGGTCATCTGAGGGTCTACGCTGTGTTTGCCGTGACAATTTAGCGCCAAGTCCAAGCCTATGCATAGGTTAAATGATACTTATATCCAGCTTCAAAATTCGCCTAATGAAACGCAAATTAACATGTAAAAAGAAATATTCCTCCACCTGTGTGGTCGAGCTTCTTGTTCAGCCTCAATAGGTTCATCCTCTGCAGACTTTGTCATATTGGCAACCCATTTCTCAGCCTGAAAAACGAGCAAACACAAAGCGGTGAGATGAGCCAAAAGAAGTAAGAAACTTGGAGAGAAACAATCCAAAAATGCAAACATGGTATCAAGAATGAGCCAAGTTTTAGCTTCAATCCAGAGCTTTGTTGTGCTTTAAGGAGGAAAATCTTACAAGCTTTAATGCCGTGTCTGTTCTACGAATCTGTGGAGTTCCCTTCTTCTTTGCCGTTTCCGTTGTCATTGCAATTAGAGTACCACCACCACCAAACTTCCTGCAGTCCCAGAAGTGATATGCTTACATTACTCACCGCATTAAGAAAAATTCACACAAAGAATAACAATTTGTGAGTAGCTTTTAAATCTAAGTCACATTGGCCAATCACTAGTTGTATGCAACAATTTAACCTAACAAGTTCTAATTTCTTCACAACTTTCAAAGACAAAAACGTTCTTCTTCCTCTTTCACCAAACCCATCGAATGGTCCCTGAACCTATCCCTAATGAGAGAATAGCAACAATGGAAGATTTTCCTAGTTTACATACACTAAAAACCTCCCCATACAAACTATGTGACACAATTTCATCACAAGACAAATCATTAGATTATCACAGACAAATCATCAAACAGCTTCCGTGCATAACTTAAAAGTAAACCGAACTTTAAGGCTAGTAAACACGAACAAGACTCACAGATCTTTGTGCGGATTAAACTTCAAGAAGAGAAAACGAAACTTGAGCCTCCGTTAAAAAAAAACTTCCTTTTTCCACAGATTCCGACACAAAAGCTCCCGATTATCTGCTAAGCTATTAACTCAGAGCCGTCCCACAAGTTCTAAATAACCAAAATAAACCAAATTTTCGATATAATTTTGGTTCGGTTCGATCGGTTCAACTGTACCGGGCACAATTAGTTTCCCATTTTAGGTTTCGTATTTCCTCCGGTCGGTATCTTAATTTTCTTAGTTCGGAAATGCTTAAGAAAATCTCCTCCGATTCGTATCGTCTTCTTGCTCCGGCACTATCACCATCTTCATCATCGTCACTAAACAGAGCAGAGATCGAACGTGTCACAAGGATCATCAATGATCATCCATACCCAAATCATCCGATTCAACCCATTCTCACAAAACAAATCCCTTTATCTTCGTTATCACCGGAATTCGTATCGGAAGTTCTCGGTCGTCTCTTCGCTGCTCATTCCAATGGCCTTAAAGCTCTCGAATTCTTCAAGTACTCACTTAAAGCCCCTAAATCTTCTCCTCCAACCTCTGATTCATTCGAGAAAACACTTCACATTCTCACAAGGATGAGGTATTTCGATCAAGCTTGGGCTTTAATGGAGGAAATCAGAAAACACTATCCTGATTTGTTGACCTTCAAGTCAATGAGTATACTTCTCTGTAAAATCGCTAAATTCGGTTCGTATGAAGAAACTTTAGAAGCTTTTAAAAGAATGGAGAAAGAGATATTCAGAAAGAAATTTGGTGTTGATGAGTTCAATGTTCTTCTACGAGCATTTTGCACAGAGCGAGAGATGAAGGAGGCGAGATCGATTTTCGAGAAACTGCATTCTAGGTTTAAGCCAGATGTGAAGACGATGAACATTTTACTTCTAGGGTTTAAGGAAGTTGGTGATGTTACAGCTACGGAGCTATTCTACCATGAAATGGTGAAGCGAAGATTCAAACCCAATTCTGTAACTTACGGTATTAGAATCGATGGGTTCTGCAAAAAACGAAACTTTGGGGAAGCTTTGAGGCTATTTGAAGAAATGGATCGGTTAAATCTTGATACTACGTTACAGATACTCACTACATTGATCCATGGATCTGGTGTAGTTCGGAACAAGATCAAAGCACGCCAACTGTTCGATGAAATTCCTAAGAGAGGGTTAACACCTGATTGCGGAGCTTATAACGCTTTGATGAGTACTCTAATGAAGTGCCGAGACGTGAGTGGTGCAATCCAGGTGATGAAGGAGATGGAAGAGAAAGGAATTGAACCTGACAGTGTGACGTTCCATTCGATGTTTATCGGAATGATGAAATCGAAAGAGTTTGGATTCGACGGGGTATGTGAGTATTACCAGAAAATGAAGGAAAGATCTCTGGTTCCGAAAACACCAACGGTAGTGATGCTGATGAAGCTTTTCTGTCTGAACGGTGAAGTCAATTTAGGTCTAGACCTGTGGAAGTATATGCTGGAGAAAGGGTATTGCCCTCATGGCCACGCTTTGGACCTCCTTACCACTGCACTGTGTGCTCGAAGAAGAGCCAATGATGCATTTGAGTGCTCGAGGCAGACAGTGGAGAGAGGAAGGTGCGTTAGCGAACCAGTCTTTCGAATGTTAGAGACCTCCTTATCTAGCAAAGACGAGTTGCGGAAACTAGAGGAACTCAAGAAGAAGATACAGAAACTGCATAGCTTTTTGCCACCTCCTGGAACACAGCTAATTTAGCAGATAACTTGAATGTAATCAGTTCTTGTTTGCAAACCAATCACATTGAGAGATTAGTATGTTCAGTTGTATACAACACAATATAGTAATTTTCAATGGATTTTGCTAAAAGATCAAACTTACCTGATCATTGTGATTCAGACAAGCTTGTGATTTTAAAAAGAGCAATTGTATTTAGAGCCAAAAGCAAAGTAGAGAGTTTTAAGTGTTACATGGCTACAGATTTACAGCTAATAACATCAATATCATCATCCCAAGTCTTTGGTATAGAAGAACACACCATTACTCCAGTCATCGTCATCGTCCTCACATTCTCAACATCAATCACCACAGTAGAGCAATCCTTACCAATCACAAAGATATTACTTCCAATAGAAACAAGCCGACACGGCTGCTTCATTACCAATTGAGATAGCTTCCCGATATGAATCCACTTTCTCGTTTCCTTGCACCACATTGTTAGCTTAGATCCAAAAGTCTGATCCAAAACATAAAGATCATCTGCTACCACAACCGCTGGACCTCGCCATCCCAAAGCCATATCATCATCCACACGTTCCCAAACCCCGCTCAATGCATTATAGACTGCAACTGAAGATCCACCACCACCCCGTACATAAATCTTCCCGTCCATTACAAATGAATCTTCAATTTCAGGGACAATATTAGTATCCGAACAAGATTTGCAGGTTTTCGTTAAAGGATCATATATGTCCCAAGTCTGCGGAACTTTAGGATTCACTCCTAATCCACCAATCGCCATAATTTTCCCATCAAGCGTTTCACAAGCAAAGAAGCATCTGCAAATGCAATCAAAAGACAACGTTGGAAACAAAACAACATCGAGCTGGTTGCTCACGGCAAGATTATAAGACTCCTAAGGGAAATACAAATACCTTTTAGTTGAAAGCGACGGTACTACATCAAGCCAAGTGTTCATAGCAGAATCATAACAATAAACCTCATCAATCGCATCTTCTAACCAACCACATCCACCTAACACAAACAATCTCTTACCCAATACCGCAAAACCCATACCTTCTCTCATTGTAATATGTCTACATTCATTGATTCTTTTCCACGACCTTCTAGACGAGAACGGATTCAGCACGTACAAGAAAACACCGCCAGATATATCACGGCACAAGGCGTAAATCCAAGATTCAGCCAAGTTCAACTTGTTTCGATAATCGCAGAACTCATCGCTACACACAAAATCTCTCCATCTCCTTGAAACACATTTCATTGCCATGTGATATTCCCTTGGAACTCTAGCCAAGCAAGAATTCACAATATCATCAGGAACACCGCTTATAAGCGACATTTGTAATGTCTCCTTCGATAGATCTGCACATTCCATTGTGAAATTATCCACCAAATGAGATTCGAGAAAAAAAACCTGTTCATGACCAAAACACACAAATACTTTCTCAGATATGGGTAATAATCCCCCTAACTAACATAAATTAGCAATTTACATATACTCAGCAAAATCTTTGAAGATAAAATCAAACAGTCGAAG